ATTCATAAGAGCTTGAAGATCTACAAGAGTTGCCACTCTATTGTCTACTTGTGGAGATGCACTGTCTATGACCTGGTCTACTTCCATATTTAGAGAATAGATGGATTAAAATTTTGAGAGAAGAAGAAATTGCTAAGTCTCTTGGAGAAAATTGTAGCACTACTTGTCACTAAAACCTACTCGGAGAAGAGAAAAGAAAAAAAAAAAATACTAAACGATTTCAGTTTTAGAGGAGGGTAATCCGCAACCTCTAAAAATGCATCAATGCTTTCGAGAAGAGGGGTAATCCACACTCTATCAAGAAGGCAAAGCTCTGAAATCGATGTTAACAGTCTTTTCTACTAGCTATGCTAAACAAAAAGAAGGAATTAATATCAGTCCAAGAGAGGGTAATCCGCAACCCTTAGAACGCTCAAGTATCTCCAAGGAAAGGGGTAGTCCACTCTCTGCCTCAAAGAACTAAGCTCTGATATTGTGATTGAGAAAATATCAATTTAGAGGAAGGTAATCCGCAACCCCTAAAGCGCTAGAATACCTTCAAGAGCATTCTAAAGGAATCTTTAGAGAATCTTTAGGGAATCTTCAAAGAATCTTTAGGAAATCTTCAAAGAATATTCTAAGAGAATATTCAAGGAATATTTTGGAAGTTTCTAGAGATTTCTTTCTAGAAGGTTCTAGAAACTTGTCTCTAGAAAGGTCTAAGGACTATGTCGCTAACAGATGGGCATTAGACTTGCATTGACAACTGCATATAATCTGGAAGGAAATGGTAAGAGTGAAAGTGGATACTTTCTAATTATTAAAGCATTGATTAAAGCATGCAAAAGTGAGATAGGTGATTGGCCTAAATTATTATTATTTATACTATAGGAAGATTGTACAACTTATAGTATAGTTGCAAGATACATGCCAGTATAATTTATGTATGGATAAAAATCAATGATGTCAATAGAAGAGGTTGTACCAACATAAAATATATTACTTTGGAAAGATGATTTAACAAAAAAAGAATCATTAGTATTACAAATTCAACAACTTAAAAGAAGATCCGAGGACATTAAAATAGCTATAAAGAAGTTAAAAGAAGCAAGGTAAAAAAACAAAGAAAGGTTTGACAAAAAGCATCGATTGTATCCAAAATTAATTCAAGATGATAATTGGGTATTGATTTATGATAGTAGTTTGAACAACCAACATAGCACAGTAAAAGAATTTGCAAGGAGATGGTTTGGACATTATGCTGTTAAACAAGTATACAACAATGGAACATATTTGTTACAAAAACTTGATCGTACAAAATAAAAGATACCTATAACAAGGAAGAGAATCAAGTTATTTAAGCAAAGAGGTGAAAATATTAATTTTGATAAAGAACAAAATCCATTACAAGACATTGAAATGAAAGAAGAAGAGCAAATTAAAGATCAAGAATTTGTCTAAAAATAAATAAATAAATAAAAAATACTCTATATCAACATATTAAAGAATCATTGGTGCATGTCAGAGGATGCACACATTCAAAAGGAGTAGATGTCATGATGTAATATGATTAATAGGTGAAAGAGATAAAAAAATCTATTATATTATAGAAGATCTTTGTTCAAATATTGTAGCAAATTATTTTAGAAAATAAAAAATAATCCAAAAGAAAGTAGTACTAAAGGATTAAATGCTATCTTTTTGCAAAGTAGAATTCTATTTATTTTATAAAGCCATAAATAAGGTAAAATATGATAGATTAGAAAAAATAAATAAATAAAAATAAAATAAAAAATGAATATATATAAGAAGAATTTAGAAATTGTTTTGATTAAAAATTAACTCAAATGAAAAAAAAAATTGATATCCAAAGATGATTGGTTATCAACTTACGTTGAAATCAAATTCTAAGGCACAAAACTAGTTACCAATAGTAATTTCGGAGTTCTTTGACAAATCAAAGAAAAGAAATTAAGAACAGACTTAATAGGATTTCCTTAAGCATTGATTTTGAGGAAATTAATTGTGTCATGACTTTACAAGAGCTTTGCAAAGTCATAGTTGTTTTGGATGACTCTAGAATTTGTGAAATAAAAAAAATATTATATTTTAGAGAATTTTGTAAGTTTAGTAGTAGATCTATAATTCAAATTTTTAGAACTTATGAGAATAGTTGTCTAAAGTATATACTATAAGTTTGAGCTTGATCAAATGATTGAACTAAATGCTACTAAATTTCAAGTAGATTGAGGTCTTAGAAATTGGACTTTGACAAGCAGTTAGGATTTCTAAGATTTTTAGCAATCTATTAGTTTTTTTGAATAAAATTTGTGTGTAAGAGTAATAGACTTAATTTTCTATATACATGTGAAATTTAAGAACAATTGAACAGTTTAAAAAGGAGATATTGGCACTAGAAGTTCAATATTTAGATTGGAATAGGAGGCTGGTTAACACCCAAGTGGATTTTAGGATTTTTTTTCTATTTGGTAAGTGTGATTATCTTCAAATTTTGCGTACTTATTGCTAATTTAGTTTTTTAATGGTATTTAAATTTTTAAGATCAATTGTTCAATTGATAGATATTGAGGTTGTAAATTATACTAGGATTTGATTGAATAAGATTAGCATTTGGTTTAGGATTTGATTTAGAGTTTACGATTTATCTAGGATTTGGTTTAGGATCTTAGATTTCAACTAAGATTTGATTTAGGATTTAGGATTTGTCTAAGGGTTGTTTTAGGATTTGATTTAGGATTTAGAGTTTGTTTAAGATATGATTTATGGTTTGATTTATGATTTAAGATTTGTCTAGGGTTTGATTGAAGTCCATTAGGATTTCAACTAGGATTAAATTAGAACTTTGTTAAGATTTATTTAAGATAGATTTGTAATTATTTTAATATTTTTAGGGCTTCTTAAGGATTCTTTTAAGGTTTATTGTAGATTTTCTTTCAACTCCTTTAAGATTTCTTATTGTTTCTTTTGTAATTTCTTTAAGGATTTTTTTGAATTTGATTAAAGCTTTTTTAGTATTATTAAGGTTTAATTAGATTTTATTTAGTATCTTATTAGAATTAGGATTTTTTTGTTGCAATTTCTATTCTATGTTTCATAACCAGGTACCTACTGCACTCTCAAGCAAGACTTCACGTAATACAACGATGTTTCAAATGTTTTATTCTAGGAAGTTATAAAGGCCTCAACAATAATCAAATAATAGTATGATCTTCTTATCCTAATATGGAACAATGTGGATAGTTGAGAGGACCTATCAACTATCTTCAAAGAGAATAAAGATCAGAGTACATGGGAAACATAATTCGCTACATCTTGGATTTCTTCCCCATATGATGACCACTCCTCATGGAACTCGTTCCTAAAAGAAAAGTAATATTATGGATATACATATTTATTTTAATAATTATCTATATGATTAAGTAGAAATATATAAAAATAGATTAATTTCATATTATCTTTTAGAATAACTTCTTAGACATTGCTTTGACTTTACACGTATTTGTAATTAATTAATAGATAAGAAACTTGGTCAACAAGTTAGCTACGTATCACACATGTTGATAACTAACTACATGGTATACATATAGAAAATTTATCTTACAGGTTAAGACATGTGTCTAACAAAGTCAACATGTATTGGAGGTCTTATAGAACATTGTCGCATAGCTCCTAGTTAGATAGTATATTTTGAGGCAAAAGTGAAGCCTTCTTCATTCTTGTCAACGTCTTTCTAGTCCTTAATCTTGTTTTTAGACTTTCTAGTCTTCTTGTCTTTAGTAATAGCTATTCTAGTTTAATATTATATCATCTTTGAGTGATTATTTAGTCTTTTTGAATGACACCAAAGTATCTTGATCTTTCAATTCTTGAAGATTTATGTCCTTTACACTTACTGAGGCTTCAAAATCATAGCCTTTCAAGTAGAAAATAATACTTACTTTAATAGTTTTTTATTATTATATTCTAAAAGAGTACCAATAATAATACATATATCTAAAATTATAAAATCATTATTTTGTAAAGTTTCTTCTTATTGCATATTTTGTATTTTATTTTAAAATTTTAAAATAAAAAATAATAATAATTAGAAACTACTAGATAGACACTTCTCTTTTTCTATGTAAATAATTTTCTAATAATATTGTAAAAGAGCTTGTTTTTGTATAATAGGCACAATGAGGATATATATATATATATATATATACATATATATTAGAGAATATTAGATAGATCCATGCTTAATGAAGAATATAGAAATATAGATTTATTAATAGAAAAATAAATATAAAGGTCATTCTTTTTTCTTTTTTCTTTTTTCAATGTTGGTTGAAATGGATTGGTTGATTTAATAAAAAATTGGATTTGTTTAACATTCCCATATATATACACATATACATGCATAAATCACTATTTATATAACAAAAGACTAATTTTCATACACAAATATGTGTATATATATATATATATATGTATCACTCCTTTGCTAATTTTCAAAATTTATAACTTTAAAACAGAAAAGAAAACATCAAATCTGGTTTCGAAAGTAAATTAAAATAAAAAGGAAAAAAATAAAAATAAATCATATAACAGAGATAAAGGAGAGAAATATCAGCTACACAAAGAGAGTGACAATTGATGGCTCAACCACAAGCACCTCAGTTTCCAGACGGCACTTCCGATGCATGCATGCCCCGCATTGCCCAGCGTGCTTAAAAAAGCGTGCACTTGTAGCCTCATGCAAAACTCTCACCATCTGACGACCATTCTGATCCCCATATTCTCTGCTATGTGTGATATTACATGCCCCCCTACGCGGCGAACTCACAGCCTGAATTCTTCGCAACGTGATTCTCACTCGCGCTGCACGTTCCTCCACATCGCGTCGTGACAAACCCCCCCCCCCCCCCCCCCTGCATGGATTCCATGCTCCAGCTCGCGCGTTCGCTGCGTTGGAACCACCCTAGCTAGCTAGATACCCCGCTTGGTGTCATCGATGTGCTGGGTGCGGTCTCGGTAGTTGTTGTCTGCTCTTTGATGTCCTCCAGTCCCCCCCCCCCCAGAGCTGTTGGAGTCGTCGTCGTCGTTGTTGTTGCCGTTGTCGTCACCATTTCTGCGTTCATCATGTGTCGACAGCACGGGGGATTTGCAGTTTGACGGACAGTAACAGAACAGGTCTGATCCTTATGGTACCCACCGAAGGATCTTGAATTCGTGGGAGTGCTGTCATGTGGACAGTCCACGATGACTGTGGTTGGAAGACCAGAAGAGACTTTGGGTCATCGACTGCCGATTTACGGCAGTATTCATCAACTGCCTTTCACAAATCGTACCGCAGTGACTACTTTGTTGAATTGATGAGTTTTTGTGAGGTCGCTGAGCTTGTATCGAGCCAGATTATGTTGGTGCATGCCCATTATTTATGCGCGCAGAAACAGAGGCTGGTTCCTAAATTTGGTTTCTTCTCTTTGAGTGTCGTAGAATTGAAGCGATTGTTGTGGTGATCTGTAGAATTTCAACAGCGGGAAGGAATGGCTTGTGGAGAGGGACACGATCATGTGGGCGAGGATGTCTATTCCACCAATCAACAGAAGGCCACGACCCACATTGACAAGGTTAGATTGGCAGCTATTGAGCTCGTGGGTCAAGCTGCGATTCCCGGTACGCTGGCTTCTCTTGCACGTCTCAATGTCTTCGAGGCGCTTGCCCGAGCGGGGGACGGTGTAGAGCTGACACCTCAAGAGCTGGGCAACCAGGCAATGCCGGGAAAGGTCATCAACTTGAGCTATCTTGGAAGAATGCTCCGCCTGGCAAGCAGCGTAAAGGTTTTGCGCGAGGTTGCTACAATGAGTGAGGATGGCTCAACCGAGCATCGCTACGGGCTGGAACCAATCGGTAAATTCTTGGTAGACGACGCAGAGAAGGGCTCCTTGGTCCACTTGTTACTCATGTATCAAGACCCTGTGTTCTTAAGTACCTGGAATCACCTGCCTGAATCTGTCCTGGATGACTCGGTCCAACCATTCGCAAGAGCACATGGCGGATTGCATGCGTGGGAATATGGAATGCAAAATCCTGAATTTGACGAAAAGTTCAACAAGGCTATGGCTGGACATTCGAAGCTGTACATGCGTGCCTTTTTGGATGTTTATCAGGGGTTTGAGGGAGTGAGGGTGTTGATCGACGTAGGAGGAGGATTTGGCTCTGCTATCAGCACCATCACTGCCCGGTATCCTCACATCAAGGGGATCAACTTCGATCAACCTCATGTAATCAAAGCTTGCCCTGAATTGCCAGGTGAGAAACCTATAAACCCCTCGAATTGAAGCCACATATCTTGCCGATAGACTGAATTGCAACACTGCCTAACTCATTTGCATTTGCGTTAAGTTAATTTTGTCGATGTCGATGTCGATGTTCTCAGTTGGAGTTGGCGTGCGTCTTTCGATCGTGCTTCCGTTTAAAATTGCATTTGTTTCTTTCTCGTTAAGATCTGTGAGAATTTAGTATGAAACGACTGGGTTTCTGTCAGGAGTGGAGCACATGAGTGGAGACATGTTTGAGTCCATCCCATCTGGAGGCGATGCCATCTTCTTGAAGGTCAGTCCTCCACCATCTCATGTCCTTCCAATATATTATTTCATAGGAGTCTGACATATTTTACTACGCAATAAAGTCATTATTTTTTCCATACTTAAATGGATACAATATAGCAAAGATGTAGCGTAACTTGCCTTCGTTTTCTCATTTTTGTCAAAGTATGTCGCATAATGTGTGATATTTCTGGTGCTCATCTCCTAGTTGCTCTCGAATATCCCAATCTCGCATTTAACTTTCTGTACGTCTCACAAGGGCAACTAGAGCTTCATGTGCATTTTGTTGTCAGAGCACACATGGAATCCAAACGGTGCTCTGGTTGATGAATTCACGTCGGTCTTACGATAGTTTGCACTTATTTCAATGGGTAAATTGATGTGACTCCAGCGTAATAATATTTCTAACCCTGTAGCAGCATTGTTTCTTCTGGACAGTACATACTGCATGACTGGGACGACGAAAGCTGTATCAAACTTTTGAAGAACTGTCACAAGGTGTTACCTGCAAACGGCAAGGTGATTGCTGTGGACAGCGTGTTAACCGACACCATTAACTTCGAAGGAGGTGATCGCATGGCCTTCATGGTTGACATGAACATGATGGCATTCAACCACTCCGGTGCTCGTGAACGAAATGAAGGGGAGATGCGCAAGCTTGGACTGTATGCTGGATTCCTGCGTGTCGATGTTGTATGCAAGGTTGATCAACTCTCTGTTACAGAATTTATCAAGGCTTGACTTGGGTCCAGTGACAGATCACCCATGTTTGCTTGTCACTGTGGCGTTGTCTATCCATACCAAAAATATCAATCCCTTTGAGTTCCACTTCGACTGGATTCAAGGCTAGGGACCGCTATATTTTACACGTTAATAATGCAGGCATTGCAGAAAAGAGCCGTTGCAGGTGCTCTAAGTGGATGCTGAGGAGTCACAAGCTCTCATCACCAGGTAGATATGACTTTTACCGAAAACTGAAAACTCCTTTTAGCATACGAGGAGTTTCAATTTTTGCTTCGGTACAAGTAGGTAGTGGCAGCAGAGAACTCATTGCATAATAAGCACCAGAATGTGAAACACGTTTTAAGGCTGGTGTACAATGTTGTTTTGCTAAGACTCAAAATTGTAATAAAGTAAATATTGTCCAAAAGAAAAAAGAAAAAAGAAAAAACCTAGAAGTCTATCGAAGTAAGTTGAGTGCTTTTTCCATAAATTATCACAGCTTTAAAACAATGTCGGTGTTTTAAAAAAGAAAATAATGATAATCATAACAAGATAGTTTATAAAATGGAAGTATAGGATTTCCAGATACTAAAGAAATATTGTAAATAAATCATAAAATATGCTAGCAGATGTTAAAGAATTACTTATGTTTATTACAGATTATAATAACTTTTTACTAAAAAAGATGGTTTCCAAATAATTTTACTAACAACCATTTTAATATTGGACATCTAATCAAGCTTTATAAAAAAATTAGCTAAGGATTAGTACTAAAATTTAAGGATTATGCTTACAAGCTTCTAATATAATGCAAGTAAATGACAACTAAATTACGTGTGGAATTATGAAGTGGTGTTAAAATATTCTGAGATAATTGTGAAGTTTCTTAAATAAAAATTTAAAAATATTTTCAAAGCTATTACAATTTTTAGTTAAGAACATTTTGGAAACAATTTGGATGCCAAAAACATAAAAATGAGACTAATTAATCTAAAACAAACTCAATTTATCCTTTCAGTAAATCAAAGATAGTAATAATACTTAACATGGTTAGGATAGACAAATATAGTTTCTCAATATTCTTAAATTTGAATTGAGACTAAAAAAAACTTAAAATTTATATATATATATATATATATATATATATATAAGAATTAAAATAGGATATTAAATATTATAATATGTATAGGTTGCATAAGTGATTTTTGGTTTATTTTAGATATATTATAAAAAAGATGTTAAATTATTTTTATTAATATCAAATCAAAAAAATAAATAGAATATATGAAAGAAATTTATATTTAAATAAAATGATGTTAATTTTTTTTTTAGAATTATTAAAAATATTTTATTTTAATTTTTTATTATTAAATAATGTTAATGAGTTTAAAAAAATACTAGTTGTGTATTTAATTCTAAATTATTAGTTTTTTAAGATTGATAAATCTAATAATTTAATATAAAAAATATTACATATTTCTTAAGAATCTTCAATAGATGGATTATTAGCTATAATATATTTTTTCTTATTTATTTTTTTACAATATTTATATTAATAATTTTATATGTCTTTAAAAATAAAAAATATTATAGTTACAAAATAATCAATGTAAACCTTATTATAATAAAAACATGATATATTATTTTAAAAGATAAAATTAAATATGATATTAAAATAGATATTTTTAAAAAAATTTAAAAACCAATTAATATATTACAAAGTATTTAAAACAAAGTATATTATTAATAATCAATATAAAATTTAAATATAAATCTTATTTGTAGAAGATTAATATTTTTTAAAAAAATAAATTTTAGAATATTTTAAATTCAATTTTAATTAATAAAAATAATTTAAAATATATAACTACTTAAATTTTAAATAATATTAGTTGGATCCAAATATCAACACTATTTTATAGCACTATATGGACCCTATTGTATCAAATTAATTTCCATAGTATATATTCATAGTACTATAATATATATTAATAGTATAATAGTATATACTAAAATTATTATAATATATATATTAATAATATTATAGTATGTAACAATAGCTTCCATATATACTATTAATATATGCCATAATTTCATCTATGTAATGGTGCAAATACAAACATTGTTTATGTCACCATGAAAGTCTTGTTGATTCTCTTGTAACTATTAATATTAGAATTATGTCATGACTTGCTGATGTCCATGAATCCTACAATTATGAAGAGATCTAGATTTTGCTAAATTAATTATTTGCTATTAAGTCTTATTCTATTTTACTCTAAAATAAAGAACAATTTGGTGGATCAATGATAGAATTAAGATTTAATATAATTCTTAGTGTCTTACTTATAATTTTATTTATAATGTTAAACAAAGCACATTGTGTTGACACAGATACAAATGTAGAAAGTCACAACTCTTTATTAATGTGTCATGTTTAGGTTTGATTTTAAGTTTTATAATAGATAGTTATTTATTATAGATTATGTTCTAATACAATTTTTAACTAATTTATAATATATGTTAGGTTTTTCTTTATAGCATGGTAAAGAATAGTAAGTGATGTATAAGTTTTGGATTAAATTAAAAAGACTTTTGTTAAGAGATTGGCAAATATATAATGAATGGAGCAGTATGTAAAGAGAAACTTATTGAGTACCATAAGTTGTTAAATGAAGTGATACCAGATGGCAATGTACTTGGTTTGGGCATAAAATTTGGTAATATCTATTAATGCAAGAGTATATTAATTGTTATAGTTTATGATAGTTGATTGAGAGACATTTTGTTGTACTTTATAAAAGAGATGGCCAAGCCACACAACTTTAGAGGCTGTAGTTACTATAGCCATATATTTGGCATGCATATTGGATAATGCAAAGGTATTGGCATGTTGAATCCTAGTTTATAACATCACTAGAGGAGAAAATAAAAATCCAATGTAAATTAACACTTGTCAATTTTTTCAGCCTAGATTACATTATTGAATCTATACAATGCTTAAAGATTAAGATTTATGTATTAATATTAAAGGTAATATTTCAAAGTACTGCAAAAATAATAAAATATGTATTTGAAGGCTTCAATATGTGTAGATTGAGAATTGCACATGTACTAGGCAAGAATATTGATTGCAAAAGAGATATTAGAGCACATGTAGAAGCTAGTCTAGTTGAATGATTCAATTGTGTTGACATATAAAAAATTTCCATAGAATTATTAGGCTTTGGGAGTCATTAGAAAATTAACAATAGATAGTCAAGTATCAGAGACAATAAGAGTAGAGATATGCTATAAGTTATTAAAGTTGAATTCTTTTGATTTTTGTTGAAGATTGTGAAGATAAATTCCATCTCTTAATGCAAATGATAAGATGACATCAATTAAGAATTTCTTGTAATTATTAGTGTGAAATAAAAGAAGAAAATAATAGGAACAAAAGAAGAACAAATATAAAATATATGAAATAAATGAAATCAATCAATTACACAATCCAAAACTTGGTCACAGTTTGTTCACTAAATTTTTATCTAGTAAAAAATAAAATTAAAGAATAAAAAATATATTTATAAAAAAATAATTTTCTTAACTTTTCAATGGTATAAATAATATATAAATCCAAATTACTATGAATAAGTTATAAAGATCTAAAGATAGAAAATAAATAAATAAAAATTTAATTAAAAATTCTTTACTTGAAAGATAACTTACTTATAGATCAAAGATTTGAATTTCACCAAAGCTTCCATATAATATATTTTTTGATTTGGAGGTCATGCCACATATCAACCATAATATCTAATATCTTTGCACATTCTAAGACCAAACATTTGTAACCCTTGATCTAATTACTTATCTCCTATCAATAATATTTCTCTATACACTACCAATCTACCGATCATTATAATCCACAAAGGATATTCTATACGAATGCAATCTTGCCTAGAACTATAATGCCACAATATTTTGATTCTAAAAAAAATCTATTAATTCACACAAAAAAAATGAATTCTTCTTATTCAACTATCAAATATTTTTTTAGAACTTGTGACATATCAACAAACCTTATACTCTTCTAATGCAATTCAATGACTATAAGCAATCATAAAAGAAATTAATTTTCATGCCGCAAATAGAGCATATACATTCACCAACTTATTACTTCATTATCATTTAATCTTGTATAAAAGATTATTTGAAATCAAACTAAAGAATATTAGCCAAATTAATAGGTTGAAAGCTTAGTTAGTTGTTTGTAGCTTTAGTCAAGTTGTTTGTCTAGACTTTACCAAAATATTTTTAGTAGTAGTTTGTATTTAATCTATTTATATTATTTTTTTCCTTATCCAATAGAATCTACATGTTCATCAACTAGATATCAGAACTACCTTTTGAAACAAGTTGCTTCACAAAGAAATACATATGCAAGTTTCTAAAGGCATTTCACCTCCACAATCTTAGGTGGTATGCTTTTCTTTGAATTATATTTACCTAAAGAAATTTCTTTGAGTTATTTTTACTTATACAACTTCCTTTGAGTTATATTCACCTATAACCTTCTTTCTTTAGCCTAAGTAAAGTATCTCCTTTATAAACTCTTTTGTATTATATTAACAATGTATTGTATTTCATATGTGATAAGATATTGATCAAAGTCAAAAGAGAGGTATTCTCTTTCTTCATCAAATTTGAGAGTTTTAAGTTTGTATCTTATTTGGTATTCAATCCATACATAGAAGATTTTGAATATTTGAGAGCATTGACTTTTCTTGCAAAGAAGATGAAGTATATGTAGCAAGAGAAGTTGTCAATGAAAGTCATATAATATTTGAATCCAAAGAAGGTAGATTTTATAACTTGGCCACCAAAATCTAAATAAAAAAATTTCAATCAATAGATAGCTTAAAATTTAGCCACTTTTAGAAACTTTATTGCAATTTTTTTTTTAGAGGTATATTAAACAAAAGTAGTTTAATATTTTTTTTGTTAAAAATTCCAATAACAAGTTTATTTTGTATAAGTTTTTTAAATCGGTGTGAATTGTTATGGCCTAGTTTGTAATACCACAATTTGATGATGTTGCCATGTTTAGTGATGTAAGCTTAAAAAAATTCAAAATTAGAATTAAAAAATAAAATAAAAAAAATAAAAAAAAATCTTGTTGTTTCTTTAGTTGGCAAATATAGATAACTTTGGTAAAGAGGTTACTTTATAAGGATGAAAGGTTGGTGTTGGCAGAGATGGTGCCACAAGAAAAATTTAATAATATGTGGAAACATTAAGCATCAACAACACTATAAGAAAATTTTTAATATTATGAAGCAAATTCATCTAGCAGGCAATACAAATACTTTATCTTACATCAAGTTTAAAAGTTCCTCATGCTTTTTTGATAAGCTTTATTGAAGCATAATCATGTAAAATAATCTAAAAT